TTCCCTTAAGTATGCTAGTGTTCTGTGTTAAGGGTACCACTGTGTCATTTAGGCCCACCTGCTTGGTAAGCAGACTCAGGCACTTCTCACACAGAAAGTAATACACAGAAACTCATACACTTCTCTCACACTATGCCCCAGGATCCAGGTGGATGTGACCATTCAGCATGGTCACAGCCCTGTGAGCCCAGGTAAATCTCAGACACTAACACAGTGTTGAGAAGGACCCTGTTCAGGGGCCTGGTGCTGTTCTTACCCCACTGGAAGATCCTGCAGATGGCAAAGACACAGGTAAATATTTGTATAGAGCTTTGAAAAGTAGCAAGACAGTTTTGTTAAGTACTATTGATTTGGACAACAAGGAACTTGCTTTGAAACTATTGATTCAGTACAGGAGAAAACTGCTGCACTGGAGTCTTTATCAAATATGCATGTCTTAGCTGTCTCACTTTCTACCTCTAGGCTGCAAGTGGTCCTGCACGTGCTGATGTGCACAGCGGGGTTTTCCACAGGACTGATCTCAGCCCAGCTTTTCCTGTTGTGTACAGCAGGAGTTTTGCTATTGACTGCAATGGGAACCAGGGTAGGGGAGTACCTTGTGTCTCACTGGGCATCTAACCAGAGGTAAAAATGCCCTCTGCTTCCCATTCTGACCATGATCACATTGAAGTAGGCACAGCCAAAAAAGGTGAGGGTCAGAAAGCACAAACCGTAAAGCAGCATTATGTGTGACAAGGAAATGGCAAGTGCCTTGGGACTGCTAGGCTTACCTTGCTCTTGACTTAAAATCTGCTCCCCATGGCAGTGTAATATATGCAAGAGAAAGGCTTTATCATTAGGAGAAGAGAAGAGAGGAGCAGGTCAAGTGTCTGGCTTCTGTTCCAGGCTTTGCTGCCATCTTGCTGCTTTTTTGGACAAGTCATTTAACTTCTTAAAAAAAAAACCAACCAAAAACAACAATAACAACAACAAAAAAAACCACCAAAAAAACCCACCCCAAACCCCCCACACCAAAAACAAAACCCAAACAAAACCAAAAACCAAACATGCTGTAAGGTCTTTGGCTGAAAGGACCTGGGTGGATATAAAAATACAATGAGCAGCAAAGAGAGAAGAAATGTTGCAGCTCTCAGACAGATTTTCTTTCTTCAGAGACCATTGTTTTTCCCGGTGTTACGATCTACATTCATGAAGCAGATTCTATTTGATTTCCTTTTCAAGATCTGTCTGTCTCAAGGGTAGAGAAGGGATACAAAGAGTTAAAAAAGAGGACAACTGTTATTTTTCCTTGCCGCAGGATAGAACACCTCGGACTCAATGTTGTCCTTCAGCTCTTGGTTGGGGTTCCCCTGGAAATGGTGCATGGAGCTGCCAGGATCAGTTTTGTGTACGTTGCTGGAGTTGTGGCAGGTAAGTGACATTTCTGAATCCCCCAGATGGAGAAGCATCTGAAAATGGTCTGTGGTGACTTCTGTGTAGGAGAAACATTTTGTGACATTTGGTTGTAGGAGAAAAGCAGTCGCTGATCTTCTGTGTGTTGAAATTCTTTTGAAGGCTGGAAGTGGGAAATGTGCTACAACTGAACATCTGTTTGTAACTAGCCATAGGCTCTCTGTTTAGGAGATCTGCGAAAAAAGCACCAACAACCTGTTACTTTAAAATAGCCTTGCTTTAGATGGTCTTCCTGAATGTGGAGGTCATGCTGTTCCTTTCCTCGTGTCCCATAGAGCCCCAGAAGAAAGATGGCATCACAGGCATCTCTGCATGAAAATACCTTTTTTTTTCCAGGTCCTCTGCCAGTTCTTCCTCTATTTGTCCTGTTCTGTCTGCTTTCTACAGCCTGAGTAAGCAAGAAGTATTTGGTTGTAGGTTGTGAGCAGTGCACAGGAATCTGGAAATTCATTTAATCATGAAGACATGGGGTTTGATTGATTTTATTTTTTTTAGGTTTTTTTTAAGCTTGTGTTGTACTGCTTTTATTTATGTTTGGCATTTCCAGCAGTCTGGAGGTGATGGAAGCTAGCTGACAATAGATCAACATCTCATTAAAACAGGAGGAGAGTGTGAGAACAACCAAGGGCTTCACAGTAGAACTCAGACAACAACTGACTGAATCTTAGTTCAAGATTTCTGGTGATTATTTTTTTTCCAGCTACATAGTTTTATTTTTTCCATAATGAGCCGATAAAGCCTCTGTAAAATGGGCTGCATTGAGTGCTAATAATTCTACATTTCAGTGGAGAGACCATGGAAAGAATAATTGGACTAGGACACAGGGCTAGGCATGGCACAAACACCACACTATTTAGTGCAGAGAAAGGAGTTAGCAGACAAGCTCGGCCATCCTTTGCCTGTTATTTTAGTAAGCACTAAAGTGGTCCCTAATCTGCAACTTTCCAGATGTAAACTTTTCTACATAGATCCGTCTACCAAACCTTGGGGCTTCATTTAATTTGTAAATCCATGTTGCACATCTGTGCCAAGTAAGCGAAGCAAGCGAGCATTGAATCTGCTGCAATAGAGTCTAAGCGAGCACTGTGAGTTGCCAGCTGCCTCTTTGATTCCTGTGGCCGTGAACTTGCTGGCTGGGTCTGCAGGGCCAGAGGCAAGTTTTACTGGGCATTGGGTTGAGCTGAATGCCCAGAGCTCTGGAGGCTGTAGCCAGAGCCTGAGTGGAGCTCACTAGCCCACCTAGCATTATTGGTTCATTCCTTCTACACAAATGATCTCATTTTTTTCCTCAGACAAGCTGCCACATCACCATCCACTTCCCTTTCACACCTTATGACCTATAAATTGTGGAAGAAAGTGCCAAATGGAAAGGGAAAACTTCCCTTCTTAGTGCAAGATGGAGCTACAAATGTGACCAAATAGTTACACACAGAAACCATCCCACGATACCCTTATTTGTTTGAGTTTAGCCAAGTATTAAACATGCCTTATTCTTTGACATGTGCTAGGATAGAGAGAGAGAGAGAAAGAGGCATACTTATGCTGAGGATGTGGCAACATAAAGATAACACAGCTCCTAAATAATCAGGAATAAGCAGTAAATTGTAGACACAGGCCACAATGGCCACTCCCTACTTTTATGGGTTTTTTTTCTCATTTGTCTGGCTCTACTAAGAAGACTGAGATTGAAAGACTGAATGTATAGGCTCAGTGCAGTGTCTGAGGACTTAACTGCCAGTTCTCATTAAGTTCTCATTCTTAACTTCTCATCAACTTTGTCCTTAATGGCAGTGTTAGGCTGAGAAGCCTCAGGGCCATGCAGAGAAGGAGGGAGCTATCAGCCAAGGTGGCTGGTGGAGCCTCAGCACTTTCTTGACCCAAAATCAGCTGAGCAGTTAGCAAAGAAGTTTGTTAGATTCTGTACTACTGAGGGCACTCTCAAGATTTGCCATTGTGTCTTTTTCCTGTCCCTACTCATCCCAAAGATCTTTATTATCCCTGCCTTGCATTGCCAAGTCTGCCTCCGTCTCTCTAAAATTACTTTTTAAAGTTTGCATTCAAAGGAGCTTTGAGGAGATCCAAGCCTCCAACTGGGATGATAAGCAGTGTCTATGTTTAAATGTATTGTTATTAGAGGTGCCTTTATGTGATTGACCTGTCATTTTGCTGTCTCGGGTTTACTGCCTCTATCCAGGTTATTTTTAGCTAGTTTTACTCTGAAGTTTTTTAAGTACCAGGCTGTGCTTTGATCAGAGGCCTGTGCTAAGTTACAAGTCCACACTTCTTTCTCACTGAGCAAATATTTGTCTTGCCAGCATGGGAACTACTTCTATTTTATCTCCAGGTGAGGAACAAGACAGACATTTTTCTGTCTCCTGCTTCCTTGCTATTTTAAACAGGGTGTAAGTGCCTTTTTGCAGCATAGGTTTGAAGATACGTTGGTGCCTTGCTTGTCTGCTTTTAAAGTAGGTGCAAAAGAATCAATCAGTCACTGTCTTGGCAGTGCTACAGGACTAAGTTGGCTTCACAGGTCAATTGATTTCCCCCCACTTCTGTTTATCTGTGTGTTACTGACCCGCAGCAATTAGCACAGAACAGACAGTAGGAGGGGCGTAGGGTAGGAGAGGGTGTTTATTTGGCTGGCAATTATGACAAACCCTTATTCTTTCTCCCAGGGTCCCTGGCAGTGTCAGTAGCTGATATGACTGCGCCTGTGGTGGGCTCCTCTGGAGGCGTGTATGCTCTTGTCTCAGCTCACTTGGCCAATATAGTCATGGTGAGTACCAGAATGACCGTCTAACCTCTTCAGAAGTTAGCTAGATCTGGTGGCCACAGGGGTTGGAAATAGGGCCTGACCCAGCTGTTGATCATTCAGAGCTTGCTCCAGCTATGAGTCTTGTCTCAGTGGTGTGGTCTGGGAATGGAAATGTTACACTGCAGTTGGTGGCTTGGTACCCTGTTGCGTGCTGGAAAACATGTGCATGTGAGGTGGTACTTGTGTCAAGCCTAAAAGAAAACCTTGTATTTAATTTGTTGTATGCAGTGAAGTCTGCAGGGTTGGTCTGCAACCCACAATGGTGCTGCTCCAGGCAGCCTTTGTAGCAGCTGGAAGCAGGGAAGGGAGTGGTTTCCTGAGCAGAATAGGTCTCCTTTGCTGTCTTCAAGCTTTTCAGAGCATGAACAAAGTGGGGGCTGTTGCCAAATTAGGACAGTTGAGTGTCTGGCAGAGAGATAGGGAGTGGAGGAGAGGGGCTGCCACTGTACCACAGGGTTTCTGTTGGTGAAATGCCTCCTTATGTAGTTATTTTCAGTGTGATTTGTGTTCTGAGCTACTGAGCCGACAGCAGCAGGAGGGAGTTTCCTCTGTTTCATAGGATGGTAATGCAGACACAGGGCTTCTTCACATTGAGATATACAGGGTCACAGAGGGACATTGGAGGAAATTTTGGGCTGCTTTAGAGGAAGAGTCTCTCCCAGAGGCATGTGGAGAGTTACCACATTTCATCAGTTACCTTCCCAGACTTCTTAAACCTTGCCATGTGGCCTGTCATTTCACTACTCATTGGCCTCCTCCAAATCTATTCAGCAATTGCAACCTTAACATCTGTATTTTTCCATTATCCACTGCCTCTTTCCTCATCTGAAATTATTTTTACTGCCTTTCCCATTCTGGTGGAGTTTTTTTTGCTTTTCTTTCCCCCTTTTCTCTCTCTCTGCTCCCTTAGTACCTAGCGGTGATGCACCTGCATGCTGAAAGACATGTTGGCCATTTGCTGACAAAGCACAGTCTTGTACAGGTGCTTTGAGTGTGCTGGGAAGAGGACGGACTGTTGCAGGGAGAGTCTCTTGAATCTTCTGTTCCCTTGTGCCTCCTGGTAACCAAAGGAAATGAAAGCATTACTGCTTGTAAAAGTAAATATTCTTGGAATTAAATACATAAAGTAACCAACAGGGGGAAGCAATAAAGCATGTCACCCTAAGGAAAAGAGTGAGGAGAGGAATTCAAAACAGCTACATGGAAATGAAAAGTGAAGGAAGCAGCACAGTATTAATCAGGATGAGTTCAGATCCTTCTGACTGAGTTAGGTATCTCTGTGGAGAGAGAAAATGAGTTACTTTTTTTGTAGAGATTGCATTTTTGCAGTCACAGAAGTGATTTACAGACAGATCCCACATAAAACTTGAATATATGTAATATATATTGCAGAATATTTCTTCAGCAGGCTGAAAACTCACTGGGTGCCATTAAATGTAGGCAGAAGAGTTTACAAGTTTGGGTTTTTTTTATTATTCCTCAAGTGTGATGAAGAGGGAGTTTGTCACAAGAAACCTGGCTAGCTTGGTACCTCATACTGCTTTCAACAGGCGAAATTTCATGTAGTCATTTAATAATAATAATAGTGTTGTCATACATCTGAGTTCTCCAGAATATGAGAACTATTTCTCCCAGGATTTCTGACTATCATTCAGAGGTTCTTAGTTCACTATATTGATTAATGATGAAGCCTCAAGACAGAGGAGGCCAAATCCAGACTTTCTTATGGCACTATTTCCTTGGTATGCTTTTATTGAGGTCTTTATTATTTGTGTATGCTCTGCTGAAGATCTGAGTTGTAGAATTTCAGGGAGCCTGAAGTACAGGCAGTAGCACTGGAAGAGCACAGTAGGGCTTGAATGCACTGAGAAATTACCTGACAAGTGATGGCTTTCAAGTGAATCATGATGATCTGTGTGATGTTAACCAGAATGATGCTTGTGTTGAATGCTAGGTACTACTTAACATAATTTTACTTGATGTGGCCTAATACAACAGGGTTTTGCAGGGCAGGGTAGGTAAATTAAAATATTTTCAGAAGTCAGAATTGAAGGTGAAACATCATACTAACATGTTAAAAATTGGTTCATCCGAGGAATGGAGAATGGCAAGGCCAGCCAAGGACTATGCCCACACCAGCTGGATCTCAGGCAAGGAAAGTCAGTAAGACTGTCAGGCAAAGAAGTTATGGACTCTCCATAGCTTGGACATGTCTGCAGTGTATCCTTTATGGTTATGTCCTCTGGGGTTGACAGATCTGTGTTTGGTGTTGTGAGTGGAAAGTTCAGAGCCAGGTGGCAAAGGCAATGAAAGGCGTTTGTTTCAAGGCATGGTTGTCCTTGATGCTTTTCCAGGGTAGACCTGAATGTAAAATCCCTCCAGGTTTGCATGCAGCATCACTTTGTTTTCCTTGTCTCTTTTCCAGAACTGGTCAGGAATGAAGTGCCAATTCAAGCTGCTGCGCATGGCTGTTGCCTTGATCTGTAGTAAGTATCCTGGAATACTTGGCACACACACAATCCTGTTTTGTTTGTCCTTGTCATAAGAGTTTGTGCTGATTCAGAGAGTTTTGACTTCACAGCAGTTTTGGTAGGAACTTGCAGCTGGACCTTCTGGCAGCAGAAACCACATCACTCTCAAATCCAGATTTTGGGTTTCGACACAAGCATTTGTAAATGAGGATTTGTTGTTAGCCAGCATCTGTAGCTCGTGGCATTTGTGAAGAACTGGAACTTAAATGTCTCATCTTTGAATTTGCAAATAAACAATGCTTTCGCAATGATAATACTTAGGTTTCCTAGAGCCCTTCCTATCTGGGTTGGCAACAGCATTATACACACATTAATAAATTATCTTCCTATCCCTAGGGGGGCACAATAAGGGAAACTGGGCTGTGCGTTCATCACAGACAGTTGCCTTCAAAGTCAAACTCTTTTTATTTCTTCTTCATTTTCTTTTTATGGTTCTGGTATAAATTTTGAAAGGTGTCCCAATTATTCCACCACCTGTCTACACTCCCACTAACCCAGACCACTTGCCAGCCACTGGGCAGACCTCATGTCTGTGCACTACAACCCTTGCATAACCATGGCTTCCCAGCTTCCCTGTGCTCACTGTACAAGGCAATTTTTGCCTCTCCATCTCTTCAGGGATGCATCACTGGACTTAAGATGGACTGAAGAAGGGATAGACCTGGACAACTTATTTCTTTTTCCTTCTTTGTTCCAGTGAGCTTTGAATTTGGAAGAGCTGTGTGGCTGCGATTCCACCCCTCCGCTTACCCACCCTGCCCACACCCCAGCTTCATGGCTCACCTGGGAGGTGTGATGGTTGGAATCACCCTCGGTGTCATCATCCTGAGGAACTATGAGCAGAGACTCCAAGATCAGACTTTATGGTGGATCTTCATTTCTATTTATGTAATTTTTGTCTTGTTTGCCATCTTCTGGAACATTTTTGCCTACAGCTTGTTGGATCTAAAGCTACCTCCCCCTCCTTGAAAACATGGGACAGAAAGCTCGAGAGCGGAAGTCATCTGTCAGCTATGTTAAAAGAATTAAGATGGAGGATCTATTTTTATATTTAACTTAAGGGAGGATGATTCTTTTGAACACAAGTCTCTGCTGGAGGAGATACTTAAAGATCTCACGAAAGAATGGGCTGATGAGTTTGCTCACAAATCTAGCAGGTACTGTAATATTGGCTGGCCTGGACCCTGTGGTTTCTCCACTGCCAGGGCTCCCATTGGGCAGCTTGTACCTGGGCACTTATCACTTGGTTCGTTAGCACACATCAATATTTTGTATGAGATATTTGTATTTTCCAAGTCAGTGCTGGAATTATGGCCAGTTGTTGAACGAATCTCCTCAATGTTAGTGAAACCTAAAAGGGAAAAAGAGCAGACATATACTAAGTAGAGTCTCGCGTGGTACTCACAAGGCAGCTTGGGTTTGGTTTCTATGAACACATCTGAGTGTTCAGCCGTATCAGTGCCACTGTCTAATTACTTGAATGGTTCCTAAGATATTTTAGCCTATGGTGAAACCTGTCTTATGCACCTTTCAAAGGAATCAGCAGGACTTGATCACCCAAAGTGATGGAGACTGGTCTTCAACTACAGGTCAAATGAAATTGCACTATAAACCTTGGGAACTCTTAGAGTATTGCAGACACCCAGTCAGAGGGGACTTTTACTGTGCATGTTTCACTTGATTTTAATGATTTTTTTTTTCTCCCCAGCCTGCTGTGGCTAGAGGGTGTGACTGGGGTTTCTGTATTTGAGGAATGAAGAAAAGGAGGGCAAATGTTCAATTGCATTTTTATCAGCTGACAATCAAGTGCTGTTTTCTTCTCACTTTCTGGCCATGTTGATCTAACATCTGGCCTGCAGTGAGCTCCTAGCAAGGATCTCAACTCTTCCCGCAGGTTCTTACTAGAAAAGTGGGAGCAGGATCGCTTACAGCAGTGCAGGGTGGGAACTATCTTACAGCCATAAAGTCCATTTGGGGCCAAATCCGTCCACTGAAGTCAGTGGAGTTGAATCAGGTTGTATGTAGCACTGGTTTCCCACTGAAGTGGAAAGGGTGTTACTGTGTTACAGTGATCATTGTGAAACTGATAAAACTGCTTTTAAAGTGACTGCTAAATTTGAGGGTGCCTCTTCCTGAGGCAAGGGACCTTCAGGGGCTCCAAGCAGCAGTTGGTTGCAATGATGCCTTTTTCTTTACCATTGGTTGTGCCCAGGTTTTAGCAATCTGCCACTGGTCTGTAGCACAGTCCATACAGTTCCCTGCGTGGACCTGGGAACCAGACTGGAACGTCTGTAGCACAAGCAGTGCACTTCTCCGTAAGGTGCTTATGTTATTTTGCTTCTCACTTTAGAAAGCTGCCAAACTACAGTCCAGGAATGTGGATGCCCTCCTTTTCTCTTCCCTTTACCCACCTAGTTGGGTGGCCTGGATAAAGCAGCCATAGGAGTCTCTCTGGACTATTTCCTTTCTTCCTTTTCTCTATTTGCAGACTTGTGCCCAGACACCAACCACCAACCACCAGAGCCTTCCACAGCACTTCTCATGGGCACTGTAGCAGTTGAGTTTGCTCTGTAGCAAAATGTCTCTGTATCGTGGGCTTTATTGTCTCAACTGTGTGCTTGGTGCTGCCAGATGATACCACAAACTAGTAGGAGTCTGTCTGTCTTAGAATGGACATTCGCAAGTGCTTATCAGCTGCCTCCTTCTTTGCCTCTCATGGAAATAATCTCTCTGGAAAGGTTAAGTTCTGCCTCCACAGTATGCACTAGTAAAAATCCTATTGCCTCAGGGAGAGGAAAGAGCCGGGGGAGGGAGGGTGAATAAGTGTTTCTACAGCCTGGAATAAGCCTTACCTGGAAAAGAAACAATTTTTGCCACCTTCGTGCACAGGAATGGGATCACTGAGGGCAGCTGCACCTTTGTGGTTCTGCATGGTTAGTACATTGCTCATGTGCCCTCAGACTGAGGATAAAGAGGAAGGGATAAGGGTCAGAGTCCGTTCATGTTGGAGAAGGGAATTGGTTCTCTGTGCCATTTTACCTCTGCAGTGTGGGTCCAGATCAAAGCAGTCATGAGAGTTTGCACGCATCGTTTCAGGTCAGGAGCTGGCCAGTGAGTTCTGTAGCGTTGGAAACGCCTCCCTGCGGAGCAGCAGACAAGCAGGAGTGCAGAGAGCTAGGAGAGCACTGACAGAAGCATGGTAAACACGCAAGGAGAACTTTCCTTTCCTCACTTATTGCTAAGCCTTTCTGGTTGCAGATGCCTTTTAAACCAGAGGTGAGCAGAAATGGGAGTTCCCCTGGAAGTTTTAGGAAAACTGTGGAAATTTTTGTAGAAAATTTCAATCACAACAAAACCCAGATTATTTTGCCTGTAATTTACCAGAGTGCAGTATGCACTGGTTGACTTTTTTTTTTTTGTTTCTTAACTGAAAGCTACTTAATGCTCATCAGTTTCTCCCCAGGAAGGGTTTCTGTGCCTGCCAGGGATGTGTTCTGGGGCAAAGCAGGAAGCTGCAAATTCAAGGCCCACCAGTTTCTTCATCAGCCTTACCCTGGCTAACATCTCTCTGCATCTGCTTAGGAGCAGGAGGGAGCTCAACAGAGAAGTTCAGGCACCATTCTTGGGTCCTTCATCCATAGATGAACATAGTTTATGTGAACTGGTTGAAAACAGCTCTGAGGTTGAGCTTATGACTTGTTTTTTTAAACTGTTTTTCATCTTTCTGACTTCCATTCTGCGTTCCCATGCCCTGCCGCAGCAAGTCTACAAGCGAGCCTGGGGATCAGAAAGGCCAGACTTTAAGACAGTTCCAGATTTACTGTGGGTGAAGAAATTAAACCCTCTCACATTCGTGCTCATCACAGCTGAAATCTCTCCCCACACGTAGAGCAGGCTGCACTCAGCCTGTTGTTTGCTAAGCATCTATCACCTCACGGAGTCAGGAGCAGTGCAAAGTGCTTAAGCTTTTCTAATTATTTTTAGCACTAAAATTATACTCTGAAAACTTGTTAGGTTTTTACAGAGTATCAGAAAACCTAGTTATGTTGTTTTCCAGTGCACCCGCGAGTGCCACAGTGCTGCAGCACCAGAGAGCTAATAGCAAACAGCTTTTCTTTTACCTCCAGATGTCCTTGAAGCTGCTGGCTTATGTCAGAGATGTAATATTCTCCATCCTGCTCATTTGTGTTTCCAACTTGTAACAGTCAGCAACATGTTCCTGAAGGAGCTGTCCAGTGGTTTTGGTGATATTCTGGTTTTATTTCAGCTGCTCCCAGGATTTAACATCAGTCGGATAAAATGTGAATCTACTGATCCTTACGGATGTGCAGCGCTAGAGCAAAAGGCAAGGACTGTTACTGATGTACAGATTTGGACAGTGCATGTTAAAAGAAGTTATTTTATGCTTGTGTCCTTGAGTGAGGACATAGCACCTGAGGGGGAGCAGGGAGCCGTTTCTGTGTGGGACTTTCCATTTAGGAAGTACATTGCAGCACTGGTCCAGTGAGGATGGGTGCAGGGAGTAGTAATGCAGGCTGGGAGCACCCGAGGTGCTGTTGTAGAGCTCCTTCAGGGACATCTGCTGACAGCACAGCGACAGCACAGATGGGGTCTGGCTCCGAGCCCCTCTGAGAAGTGGCTCAGGCAGCCATGGGGAAGATGAAGGAGGAAGAAAACCAGGTAAATCAAAGTCCACAGGGCTCACAAATTGCACCTTTTATTCCTAGATGCTTGGGGACAGGTAGAGATTAATTTTGCACACTTTGGTAATAATATAGGAAGGAGCAGGGGGTGGGTTGTAATGGCGTGATGGGAGAGGAGGTTACCAAAATCAATCTCTGAGTGAAGTGCAGAGGAGCTGTAAAAAGCTGATGAATTTACTTTTGCTGAGTTCTTAAGACAACATCTCATGTCACTTTTTTCCCCATCAGTCGATGAGGAATCTTAGCACTTACGTGGCATATTGCGATTCTTCACTACTTGCTCCTTTAGCAGCAGGAAGTGTTTTATCAATGGGGAGAGAGGCCAGAGAAATTATCGTTGTTTGAGGTTGCTGGATTAGAAATAAAGCTCAGGGATTCTGTATCCCAAGGCCTTGCTCCTTCTGATGGATTATACTGCCCATATGTTTTAAATCAGATTAGATAGTTTCAGTTTGAACAGGAGTATGAAGGATGGAAGCTGAGACATTTGGAGCTGGTACTGAAGTAGCAGCTCTCTGCTGACCTCACAAGACAGCTGCTGTTTTGTGCCAATATTTAGTCTCACAGAATCGTGGGTAGGACTTTCACACAGACTTCAGTGAGTAAAGAGCTCAAAGTCTCTCTGTTTACATAGATTCAGGCTCAGCTCAGTTGCTTTGGAAACCCCATCCACTGGCTTTACCCAAAGTGGAACTGGAGAAAGTGAATGCAGTTCAACACCAGCAACCTCTGGAAGCAAAGTGGCACCCAGAGAGCAAAGGCCAGCACCTCTGGGGTTGTAGCTTCTTTGACTTTTGCTGCTGTTCTGTTTCTTTTATAGTAGTGGCTGCTCTACAGTGCTCTGTGATACGACTCAGAAATTCCTTCTGCAATCACTGATACTGAGTGCTGGTTATAAAGGAAAACAGTGCATTGTGCAGCTCTGTAAAAAAAGAATCACACCTAAGACAGAAACCAAGCTTCCTTAAAGGTAAATGTATTTGTAATGTCATGATTAATCATTGGCTTTTAATTGGAAAAAGCTTTCCAGTGAGGTATTTCTGAAATGCTAGTAGTAGTACAGAAAATTTATGTTTCAGGGTACTTTACAACACAGAGCACAAAATATTCCCTAGGCCTGATTTAAGTAGCAAAAGTACCTTCATTTCCAGTGAGCTTAATAGATACGTTAGTCACTGTCTCCTGACTCCCCCACAATGTCTGTTTAGTTTGCAAATAAAGCTAGATTTATGCAGCTTTTCTTCTGCTTACACAATGAATGCTAAC